TTTTGACATAAACACACTTTTAGAAATTGTTTCATTGCATCATAGGTTTTATTTTAACCTAAATGTCTTCATAACATCTAGCTACTCTTACCTTAGCGAATGTTTGGACACACTTGTATGTGTGCAAGATTTAAATAAGCGATTTTTTTCTGCTTACAAAAAAGTATCTTTTCTTGAATGTCAAACAATTTTTTACTTTTGAGTAAAAGTTTGAACTGTTAACTTAATATTGGAGTTAAAATGTGTGCTTTTGGTTATTCTCTTCACACTCCTACCTCTGCAAAGCTCAAAGTCCTGTACAGGAGAGATCTGGTTCTGTGAGACAGATTTCAGGCGGGTCCAGTGGACAAACTATTTAAGTTGAACAGAAGACAGAAAGAACCGTGAAAAGGTCAGCATCGGTTTCTTTTTATTGTTCAATGCATGTCCACACAAACTGGTTCTCCTCTGCACCGTGCATGATGGGACAGTCACTATGGAGATGGCGATGGGACACATTTTAGGATTTACAGACATCCACAGACCCCCGCCCCCAGGTCAGCTGATCTCCATCATCTCCACCTACACCAATCAGCTTCTAGCTCCCTGCTCTCTCTTAAGGTGGCGCCTGATAAATACATTTTCTTTTTTTTAGCTTCTTTTCAGGATTGGTTCAGTGGATCAACACACAATCAATCACCCCCCCCCCCTTCCCTTAGACATTCCTGTTTATCGTTCAGATTGAGCTTAAAAAAAAGAAGCAAAATAAACAATTTGGGTACAAAAATAAAATCCAAATGAAAATCTTCAGACAGGGCGAGTCCTGCTGTTTTTTGTTTTTTTTCCTTTCTTTTCTCAGACAAGAAAAGCACAAAACATACATCACTGGTCACAAAGGTACACCACAAAAAGGAAAAAAAAATATTTGAAAACCAAAATAAAGACAGAAGAAAAACAAAAAGTCTGTTTTCTATAATCCTTCCTTAAAGCCGTTGAATTAGGAGGCGCCCGGCTTGTTTCTGAGCGACGGACGTCGGGCTGCGCCGCCTCCTGTCGCCCAACCAGACTCACATTCCTGACCCTGTTCCAGGAAATCATACTGAAGGAAAGAGGGAAGGGACATCCAGACCACTGCTCTAAAAATCTATATGGATTCATCTTAGCGTGAATGAGTTTGTGTGCGGTTTCTCTCAACACAAATGTACTCGTTTGCTAACATATACAGTGTATTCCTGGTTAGAGGTGAACCAGGGGCACCTGAATCTCTGCAGCGCCCTTCCCACCGTTTCCTCCCCCCCCCACTGACCGCTGCAGGCGCTCACGCTTTATGTTTAACAAACAGAGAGGTGGGAGATCGGCTGCTGCTTATAGCGTCGTTTCGCCTGCGTTTCTTCTTTTGCTTTTTTACATTTTTTTATTTTATTTTTTGAACTCTGCTTTATTTCCGTGTCCGGCCCTCTTAAAAAAAACCTTTTAACTCTTCCGTCCAGCTTTCTTTGGAGTTTTGTTTCCTTTTTGGAGACGCAGATACACACAGAGCAAAAGAGTGGGAGAGAGAGAGGGAGCGAGTGTTGTGATCGATCAGCTGCTCGCAGCACAGACAGCTGCCCCCCTTTGAGCTTTCAGCCGATCTCCTTCCACTGACGGTAAAACTCTGCGATGTTCTTCAGCTCCATGCCTGCGGAGGAAGCGGCCTGAGTCGCTGACTGGAAAAGACAAGAACAAAACAAAAGTATTGGAACAGAGATAAAAAAAAAAGTCATAATTCGTACAAACTTCAATATTATAATAGTAACTCCTCAAAGCATGGTGGAAGCACCATGGTGCTGAGGGGAGGGACATTTAGGCTGATTGGAAGGAAAGTGTGTGGGGAGGAGGTATAACTTATTAATCTGACTCCGCCAGATGGATTTGCTCCGCATATCCATCTGGAAACCTTCCGTTGAAGTAATTTTGGGAA